GGGCGGTGCGGACCCTCCCGTCGGAGGGCCCGGCAGCCACTGCCTCTTGCCAGGGAGCAAAGTCCCAGATGGAAAAACACCTCCGTCTGCCGGTAGCGCTGTCGCCTCCCTCCCCTGCCATGCACCAGGCGTGCGCCGAGCGCAGAGAGTAGCTGGGAAGAGGTTAACAGAGAGACGCTAACTGGAAAAAACTCAGAAACTGAACTTTTTGGCTCCAAAAAGCTCCTGCTACCTCTGGTTAAACACCTGAAATACCACGGAACAAAATTATCACAACTCCTGACACTCCCAGTAAAGTTGCCGTCGTTGCTTTATTGATTCCAAACCTGAGGAGGGGGGAAATAGTTTAATTTACCAATGTTTTTACACCCCCTACGTTGTACGCAGCAGGGAGGACTGATTTGAGGCGACAGTTTCTGTGCAGGACCTCAGTTCGTGATTTTTACCTCTGGTACCACAAAGGGCTCTTTGAGAGAGAGAGAAAGCACCAGTACGTGGTGGGAACAGGGCGAACGACAAGCACTTGGTGCAACAGAAAAGGTGTGCTGGGAAAAGAGGGAGATAAAAGAGGCATCCTGCTCCTCAGTTAAAAAGCCACTGCATTCTGCAGGTGGTTAGAGCTGCAGTATTCATGTCTAACTTGTTCCCAGTGGTGAGTTAGCACTCAGGACAGGTTTTAAAGCAGAGTAACTACTTCCCTCAAACAAGATTTCATTGATAGAAGAGTCGTTTTATGGGATTAGGCTGCACCTCTGCCTGAAGTTCCTGTTTCAGTCCTGACTCAGCAGAGGTGACCAACAGGTCTAGTGTCTCTCTTTCCAAGAAGGATGGGTGGCAAGCAGCCCATGACCAAGATTTGGAGACAGAAGCTCATATTCTCAACTGTGATTTATATCTTCAGGCTGCACAATACTAGCCTAGTAACAGCAGCTCTGCCAGGCACAGAGTGCAGCTGTGGCAGGATTGGGTGGCATCCAGCTGTGTTCCCGGTCAATATAAGGCAGGAAGACTGTTTCCACTGGAGTATTCCCCTCTCCACTCCCAGGGAGAGAGCTGGTGAACAGGGGAGGGAAACAGACCGAGCTGTAACAGACGTAGTAATTTAAGGCTGGAGATTAGCTCCTGGCTTCAGCCCTGTAGCAGATTCCTGGCCACAATCATCCGCATCACCTCGTTGGTACCTGCAGCAGGATGAGGGTGCAAAAGAAAGACAGTTAGGAGATGGTCCAATCTTGCTGACAATGAAGGCAAAGAGAATTCTTCCCCGAGCTGCAGTTTACAGCACAGAAGAGCTCTTCCCACCCAACTGAGGTGGCATTTAGAAGGTGTTGGGCCAGAATATAACTGCCAAGTGCAAAGACATTGCTCAGGAAAGGTTTCAGAGTGGTAGGTGCTAGTGCTTCTTTTTATTTGGGCATTGAGAGGATGCAGGCACCAGGCATCAAGCAGAACTGGATATATACCAACAACTGAGTTCTCTGCTTTACTATTTAACACATAAACAAGACACAGAAAGAAAGACTGTAGACCCACTCAGTTAGAAAGAGTATGTCCCTTATCAGGTACTCTAGTTGTAGGTGAAGGGATTTCAAAGGAGAGAAAACAAAATGGTTAGGAGGCCAAATCGAGATTAGAAAAGGCCAGACACTGTTAGAGACACAATGTCAAAGAATGAAGATAGACTGGAATCACAGGAAGGGAATTGTTGTGAAGCATTAGCAGGTGTCTGTAGGAGTGATGGAATGAAACTGGACAGAGGCACCACTAACATGACAACTAGATATCCCCCTCTGCTGTAAGACTTAAAATACACACTAACTGCTCCAAGACACCAAGAGCTCTTGGCCAGACATGACATCCAGGGGCACCTCGTGCTCAGAGCACAATGGGATTCTGAATCCCAAAAGTCAGACAGTGCTGTGGGAAGGCAGGGGCCTCTGGAGGGCCTGTTCTCTCCTGGCTTCACTGCCAAGTCACTAGTAGTAAAAGTGTCTTTTACCTTCCAGGATCTGGTGGACTCTGATGTCTCGCACAAACTGCTGCACAGCATAATCCTTCAGGTAGCCGTAGCCCCCGTGCATCTGTAGAGCCTGGTTACAGACCTAAGAAGATAGCATCGCTGGTGAAGTGACTGCGTGGTGTTGAGGACAAGCCAGTGACACAAGCTCGGTAAGAACCCAGGAACCTGGGCTCACGCGTTGTTTTTTTTTTTCTGATCACCTAATCTCATCTCTTAACAAAGTCTGGTGTGATGGAAAAGCGCTCTGAGTCCCCATCAGCGCTGCTCTCAGTGCTATCATGTTACCTAAGTGCTGCTTCACGTTAATGGTGTGTTTATGTGAACACGACAGCATAGGGAAACGCTCTGTTTAACGAAGGCAATTTTTGCTGCGTTTTTGCTGGTGCTAGTGATGCAAAAAGCAGAACGCCAGATCACCATCTAGTGGTCAGTCAGGCGAGGAATCTGCTCAGGGCTCTCGTTTCTACCAAGACTCGACTCCATGCGTCATTATCTGTCAACTCGGGACATAAAATGCAATAGCAAAACCGCAGAGTGCTGAGAAAATATGGCAGCTTCTAAACGACACTGACCTAGGAAGTGTCAAGGTGCAGATTTCCTTTCTTTTCCTCCCTTCTTGCCTTATCTTTTCAGGGACATTTTGTGGTAACATTTTTTCAGTGTTCTAAGAAAGACCACTTGCTACCTAGGAGTGATCACCCTGCAAAATGCATATTATCCTTTGAAAATCAAAATGCTCTACTCCCTGTCCTGTCTCCCTCCTTGGTCCCCTAGAAAGCAGTGTAAAAAGCACTAGAGGCCAGGAGGCCTGAACTGTGGAGAGGCTAATACTGCAGAATTCTGTCCCATAAAACATCCTGGTCCTGAAACAAGGCTTCTGGCACAGTGACCATGCTTGGGTCTGGGTTGCTACAGTGTCAAACTTATTTCTGACACCCTGGGCACCAAGAGGGGTCTCCAAGCTTCCAGCTATGACACCAACTGAGGTTTAAGTAACTTACCGCAAAGCATTCATCAGTAGCAAAGAGCTTGGCCATGGAGCACAGCACAGCCGCGTCCTCCCGTCCCTCCTGCAGCGCCCGCGCCGCGTTGCGAACCATGAGCCGCGCTGCCACCAGGCGCGTCGCCATCTCCGCCAGCCCGAACTGCAGGTACTGCCAGCAGGTAGCACGAGAGGAAAAATTAGGTCGGCATCTTTGGAGGGTCCTGTGCCCCGAACCGCATCCCCACTACCTTCAGGCAGGTCTCAGGCCTGAGACGCCTTCTTACTCAGGAAAAGCATGTTCCTGACTTCTCCAGGGAAGACCCTGTGAAGTGCGTGATGGGACCCCGGCTGCTTGTTCAGCCAGGATCAGAAAGAACACAGCTCTGGGAGTGCAGATCTGATGGAGAGGTACCTGATTGTTTGCTAGGGGTTCCCCAAACTGTTTGCGGACAGTGAGATGTTCCTGAGCCAGAAGAACAGAGGCATGAGCAGCTCCTAACGAGCAAGAAGCTGGTGGGAGAAGCCAAGGACACAGCATGAATATGAAGCTAACGCAGACGGGCAAGAAGATGATCCTGCCCTCCTCCCTTTGCTCTCAGCTGTCTTTCTTACCAATATTTATCCTGCCTCCATTCAGTCCCTTCATGGCAATGCTGAAGCCCTGCCCTTCAGCTCCCAGTCGGTTGCCAACAGGAACAACGCAGTCCTCGAAGATCACAGCCCGAGTTGGTTGGGAATTCCAGCCCACCTGGAAAAAAACAGAGCACTTTCCAGACTGCCTGAGGAGCAGCACACCTCCAGCTCCCAGCAGAGAACTGCCCAGCCTGCTCACAACCTCTCGGTTTCATTGCCAAGCTGCCACAGAGCGCCTGTGGTCTACGTGGTTATACCTCAGTGTGCCGAGTTCGAAGCTGGAATGAAGGTATTTGAGAAGAGGCACAGATCTAACCACCCTTGATGTTCCTGAGATTAAAATCCTTCACTTATCAAAGGGACAGGTATTGTGCAAACTTCATCAAAGCTTGACTTGGCTTGGAAAATCCACACCAGGCTGGGACTCTGGTTCACATCCAAGAACAGATCTCCAATGCTTTGCATAGATGAGCTGGTCTCTGTCCTGCACTTCCCTCAAGCACGCAGGAAGTAAAAACCAAGCCTCTTACCTTCTTCTCTTTCTTGCCAAAGCTGAGCCCTGGTGTCCCCTTCTCCAGCACTAGGCAGGAGATGCCCTTGGGGCCTTGGCCTCCTGTGCGACACATGACCACGTATACATCGGTGTCACCTCCCCCACTGATGAAGGCCTGCAGAAGGACACAAGAAGAAGGGAGTGGCTTTCATATGCTAACCCTGAGCCTGCAGCAGCAGCTGGGCTACAAAGACAGCCAGGAGGTATGGTGGGACCCAACTATACTAAGCTCTGGTGAATGCTCTGCAGAGCACGTCCTACCTTGGGATGATACACAGAGATGAGGAGACAGTAGGAAACCGAAAGGACGGTGAGACCCAGGCCCCCTTGTGCATGCAGTGCCATGCCGCAGCTTTAGGAGGAGCAAAGAGGTACCTTGGAGCCATTCAGGACGTAGGTGTCCCCTTTCCTCTGAGCTGAGGTCAGCAGGGAAGCTGCATCACTTCCACTCCCTGTAGGAGAGGTAAGGAACCAGCCAGTGAAGCAGCAAGTCTAGAGCCTACAAAATCTCCCGGGTTTGTACCACGAGCATCTCAGCAATTGTCATCTGCCCCTTCTGAACATCCCAGTGATCACCCAAATGAACACAAAAAGAAACTTTTCACCTCCAGCTCCATGCAATGTTCATGTCCAGTTAATCTAGGTTACAAGTATGGGAAGGGAGAATATTTCTTGGTGGAGGATGCTCACCTGGCTCAGTCAGGCAGTAAGAAGCAAATTTTTCCATGCTACAAAGCGATGGGCAGAACCTGCGCCTCTGTTCCTCATTGCCAAAAGTGTCAATCATCCAAACACACATGCTGGAGCAGGAGAGAAGGAGCAGCATTACAGTACACGAACACAGCCGTGGGAGGAAGGCGAGTCATACAAGAACATCTCTGGGTGAACAGAAGAACAAAGCTCTATGGGGTTCAGTCAAAAGCACCGAGGGTTGCAAGTGCATTGCTCCACCTCTGCTGCAGTTAAGCTGAAGTAGCCCCGGAGGCAGCCCTCCTTCCGCCTGCCCCCACTGAGAGGGCACAAAATTAGGTGCCACAGAGGGCAGGAGGAAGGAGATCACCTTCCCTTCACCGCAGACTCGCTGCCTTGTGAAACAGCAGGTTCCTATTCAACAGCTTCAGCATCCCCCTCAGCCCTTAACCCATACTGTCTCTTTGGAAAACTGCACCTTGAAGAAGGAGGCATCATCATTCCACCTTTCCATGCAAAGTGAGCCCATCACTGAACAGGTCTGTACGAGCAGGATAGGGCCCCAGTATCAGCTGGTGCCTCTGGGCTCTGTTACACTACGACCAAAGCACAAAGGCTTTTTCCAAGCAGGTTACTATCTATAGACAGCTTAAGTGGAAAGGCAGGGAACAAAATCCAGAGCTTAATCCCATCTTGCGTATCACAAAGCTAAAATTACTTCTTGGTGGCTTCTCAATTTTTGTAGCCTGTTTGTTTGCTGCCATCAAGAGATCCTCACAGCGACACGTCTACTTGGGGTCCCAAGTTTAAATAACAAGCAGCACCAAGAGGGCTGTCTCCAGCTGGATTTTCCAGCCCTCAGAAAAAATGTAGCTTTCAGCCAGGCTGACCCCATCCATCGCTCGGCAGACACACTCACTTGTGGATGCTCATATAAGCAGTGGTGCTGGTACATCCTGTTGATAAAGCTTCAAAGATTATCGAGGTATCAAGTCGTGACAATCCAGAGCCACCGACGTCTGGTTTCACATAGATCCCACCGAATCCCAGCTGGGCTGCCTTCCGCATTGTTTCCACAGGGAATATTTCCTATTGGGATAGGCAGAGACATCACAAGTGAACATTCATGATCAATTCAATCTCAATATTCGACCTCTTTTGGTGCACCTGGGCCACCAAGTCCAGCCCCGATCTCCTGCAGAGTTTAAGTTTACCGGGTGGGTTAAAGGACAGGCAGCTACCTAGACAGATACACACCATCTTCAGGAGCAAATTCAGGCTTTCAGATGATTGAATAGCCTGGCTAGAAAAGCTTCAAGGAATTTCTGATGGCTTCCCACCCCAGCTACAGCAGCAGCTTCAAAGAAAATCTCTATAGATGGCATTACAGCACCAAGGAGCTATTGCAGGAACCCCCCTGATGAGACCCAAAGATCGTAACATCTAAGGGAGGAAACACCAAGCAGTACAACCCTTCAGAGGCTGTCATACCTTTTCATCCCACTCAGCCATGTGAGGAGCCATCTCCTTGGTAGCAAAATCAAGGGCAACTTTTTGGAATTCCTTCTGCTCCTCAGTCAGGCCGGCGGATGCTAGAAAAGCAGGAAGAGATCAGAATATGTGTTTGTTGCAGGAAAGAGAGCACTACTACCTCCTCTTCTATACCCCAAGCAATTTCAAAGTGTCCCTTAACAAACAGTTCAGTGCCTCTGCTGCAGAGAGTTCCTCGGGACCATCATGAGCTGTGCTGATAGAAGGCAGCGGGCTTTGGGAAGGGGCTTTCTTAGGACAAAACAAACCCAAGATCCCAGATCTCTCTGTCTACTCAACACTAACTGCGTTGTGAGACTGGGTCAGGGGCAGCACCATCAACGGCAGCTGTCGCTCCATCTCACTAGGTCTGTGCTGCAGAAATATAAGGACACAGTCCTGAGACTTCAAAGAAGCGACACTGGGAAGCAGGCAAGGAATAAAGCAGCCTTTTGGAAACACCATCTAAAGTTTTAGTTACACCCTGCATTTGAAAACTCCTACTTCATTTGCACATAGACCCAACGTTGTTTTGTTAGTTCCTCTCCTAAAATTCATAGGGATGCTGCTGTTTCAACTCTGAATGTGGTTACATTTAAACGTCGCAGCAATCCATCTGGGAAGTGTTTGGGAATCCTGTAGGAGCAGGCTGGCTCGGGCACAGCTGTTATTCCAGTAACCAGAGACCATCTTCAGCGAT